AGGCAGTAGGCAGCTGGAGGACAATAAAAATGGACTCTGGTTAGCTGCTGTCACAATTTTGCAGAGGGACATTCTCCATAGAAAGGTCAGTGGTGGGCTGCTTGCCGATTCGGACTGTTTCTAGTGAACCAGTGATTCCAACCATCAGCGGGCCCCGCTGACGCGCCCCAGCCCTATCCTGTCTTGTATTTCCTTCTTTCTGGTTCAGCTGATTCGCATGACACAGCCTGATTTCTGTGGCTCAGCTGTTCTACTCTCTGGGGCTGCCTGCCCTAGAAGGTAAGCAGTTGAACTTCAGATGGCTGTGTTTTGAATGCTGCGTGCGCAGCGCATGCTCACAGAACTAGTTGTTAAACTGGTTGCCGCCCACCATTGGAAAGAGCGCTACCCCCTACAAGAGAGGAAACCTCTGTAAACATGTGAAGTATATATAAAAAAAATGAAAGCCACCATATTAAAATGTTAAAGTTACAGTATACATTTTTAATGTGTTTATCTTCATTATTGTGAATTACCGAGAATGTTTTTCAGCTTCTGTGGGATTTAAATCTGATAATAAATGGATTTGCTTTCTGTGAGATAAGCGCTTGACCTCCAGCCAACAGGGGAGATTATAAAGGATTATCAGCTGATAACAAAGCATAGTACTCAAGTAGCCAGATTCATGCTTGCCTGGTTCATACAGTGCACTAAAGTATACAGTATACCTTGACATACAACAGCTCATTTAGTGACCATTCAAAGTTACAAAGTCACTGAAAAAAGTGACTTATGACCATTTTTTACACTTAATGATCGTTGCAACATTCCCATGGCGACTTGATCAAAATTCAGCTGCTCGGCAACTGACTCATATTTATAACGGTTGCAGCGTCCTGTTTCCTGTGATCTGCTTTTGCAACCTTCTTATAAGCAAAGTCAATGGGGAATCCAGATTCACTTAACAACTGTGTTACTCACTTAACAACTATGGCAGGAAAAGTCGTAAAATGGGGCAAGATTCACTTAACAAATATTTCATTTAGCAGCATAAATCTTGGGCTCAATTGTGGCCATAAGTTGAGAACTACATGCAATGTGGTTTGTTTGATTCTGTCTTGTAGCCACAAAGGTCAACTCAGAGAAGCAGCCTTTTTTGTTCCACCCGGGCAGGCAAGTACTACCAGCACAGAGGGACACAACTCTCTAGTGTTTCAGGAAGGACCTGGTTATCCCTACCTGGATATACTTCCATCCATGTGCAAAACACGGGAGCCTCCATCATCCTTGTTGAGAACCATGGCGGTGCAGTGGTTGGAATGCAGTAACGGTAAAGGTTCCCCTCGCACATATGTGCTAGCTGTTTCCGACTCTAGAGGGTGGTACTCATCTCCATTACGAAGCCAAACAGCCAGCGCTGTCCCAAGACGTCTCCGGGATCATGTGGCTGGCATAACTAAATGCCGAAAGCGCACTGAACACTGTTACCTTCCCACCAAAGTGGTCCTTATTTTTCTACTTGCATGTTTACATGCTTTTGAACGGCTAGATTGGCAGAAGCCAGGACAAGTAATGGGAGCTCACGCCATAATGCAGCACTAGGGGTTCGAACCGCAGAACTGCCGATCTTTCTGGTTGACAAGCTCAATGTTTTAGCCATTGAGCCACTGCGTCCCCCTTAGATTGCAGTACTGCATGCTAATTCTGCCAACTGCCAGCAGTTTGATTCTCACCTGTCAAGGTTGACTCAGCCTCCCATCCTTCCAAGGTCAGTAAAATGAGGACACAGATTATTAGAAGCAATATGCTGAATTGCTTAGAGAAGGCTGTAAAGCACTATGAAGCAGCATATAAGTCTAAGTGCTATTGCTTGTTATACTAACAACCCAGCCTTTTCTTAAAGTCACCAGAAATCTGGCCCTCAAAAGCACTGGGTAAAATTTCTGATTCTTGGTGAAATGAACTATTCTTGCAACCAGCTTGATATAAGGACAATAAGATCCCAGAATCAAGTGTATGATTAGAAAGACTCCCAGAATTCCAGAGCTAACATGACTAGAGGAGGAATTCTGGGAGTTGGAAGTCCACAGCAAAGCTGGCTGGGGAATTCTGGGAGTTGAAGTCCACAGCAAAGCTGGCTGAGGAATTCTGGGAGTTGGAAGTTAACAGCAAAGCTGACTGAGGAATTCTGGGAGTTGAAGTCCACAGGTCTTAAAGTTGCCACAGTTGGAGACCCCCGGTGCTATATATACTATATCTAACAATACAGCCTGCGGCATCCCTTTCAAACGTTGCCCATGCCTGTCCCAGGACAATCCTGGCCAATTATTTCCCACTTTTCACCCACAACCCTACAACATCTCTGGCAGGAAGAAAGAGGCCAAATGCTCCCCACCCACCCACCCCCCGCGATCCCACTTCGGGTCTGGGCCTTCAAATGCTTGGGGACCGAGCCTCAACTTGGAACGAGAAGAAAAAGGAGCCGGTTCTTGTTCGAAGGAGGCCGATTAAAATTCTGGGCAGGCACGACAGCCGGGACAAATCAGCTGTCTCTCCTCCCCCGCCCCCGCCCCGCCGCCGCCGCCTTCCCGCCATTTGAAGGTGACGTCATGCTTGGCAGGTGGAGGAGGGGAGATCCAAATCTTCCTCCTCCTCCTCCTCCTCCTCCTTTCTCACTGCAGGGGCCGGCCTTGGCTAGATCCAGCAAGCGGTAGGCCCCGTCCACCCCCGCAGCTGCAGCACGGAGGCGGGGGAGGGATATTCTGCCGTGCTATCCCCGCCTAGCCGAGGAAAGAAAGGACAGGGCGATCGGATCGCGCCGGCTTGTGGTTCCCCTACTACCCCTCCCTGGTGGCTCCTAGATCTCTCCGCAAAGCCCCCCCCCCACTTTTTTTTCCTCCCTTCTCGCCGTAATCCCTCTCCCCGAGACGGCTTCGCAGCCTCACCTGACTACAAAAGACCCCGCTCCACCCACCCACCCCGTTCCACTCCCATTCTGCAGTGTTTAATGTGACCCGGAGATGTCGTTCCAATCCAAGCATCTTTGAATCCGCGCTAGAATAACCCAGCCGGATCCAAACGATAGTTGGCAGAGCGGACGATAGATAGATAGATAGATAGATAGATAGATAGATAGATAGATAGATAGATAGATAGATAGATAGATAGATAGATAGATAGATAGATAGATAGATAGATAGATAGACAGATAGACAGACAGACAGTGTGAGAGACATGATGATGAGAGAGATGATAGTGTGAGATAGTGTGAAAAAAAAGAAAGACAATCTGCAGTCGCAAATGATAAAAGAGATGATAGATAGATAATAGATGAGAGAGAGATGATATGTGAGAGAGAGATGATAAGAGACAGAGAGAATGAGAGATGATGGAGATAGCGTGAAAAAGAAAGAAAGAAAGAAAGAGAAAGAAAGAAAGAAAAGAAAGAAAGAAAGATGATCTGCAGTCGCAAATGATAGATAGATAGATAGATAGATAGATAGATAGATAGATAGATAGATAGA